TGCACCCACGGGCCCCGAGAAGCTCGGAGCTTCAGCCAGAGACTCTGCAGCTGTGAGGTACTGAACAAAAACACAGTTCCACTGTGTTAAGGGACTAAAAGATTTTTCTTCACAAAAAAAAAGGATTTATTGGTCGATGTTGTGGAATTCTGAGTATAAACAATGAAGAAACGCAAGGAAGAACATACGTTTCTCTCCTTCCTCTTTCCTCCATATCCTATCTGTATTCTTGACAGCCTCCCCTAGTCGGTGTTCTAAAGCAAATCGCACAGGAAGTCGACACCCCAGTCGATTGGCAGATTTTGGCGAAATAAGGAGATACCGAGGGAGGTGTGAGCCGGAGTCCGGTCTGTACGCGGAGTCTGTCCCTGGCTCGCTGTGACGTGTCTTCCGCCTCCCGAAGCGCGAACAGTGATAGGCGAGTTCCTGGCGCTGACGTCACAGAGCGTTCCAGGCGAAGGAACGCGTCTGCCTCTGCGCTTCAGTACACCTGCTCCTGTATCCTCACGGAGCCCAGCGCAGCCTCCTTCCTCGACGGCGGGTTTTGCTTTTTTTGTGCCGTGTTGACAGGCTGGCGCGAGCCGGCCCGTGGAAAGAGCCACGAGCTGTCGCCCACCCTGCGTGGTGGAGCCGCGAGCCTGCCTTTCTAGGCTTTGAGAAACGCATTCAACCCCTCTCCAGTCAGGATGCGGCAGGCAGGATTTAGCCCGTGGAAGGAAACACCGAGATTTTCCAAATGTATAACGTGTGTCATATTAAAGATCTTTATTCTGCACGAAAAAGAAAACGACCATGATAATGGTGATGATACCGTTCTTTGAGAAGGGAAAAAAAAGGTTATGCTGACCAGGTTTGCAGAAAGTCATTTTTTTAATGTTTAAAATCAAAGCGCGCTCCCATTGGAGCGACTATTTTTAGAACCCGATTCCGTCTTAAATCCCCTCCTCTCCCCCCCAACCAACCAACCATCACCCCCGCCAGAAGAAGTCACCCCGGAGAGTGACAGATCCGTCTGCGGCGGAGGCGAGCTTCCTGGCGGGCGAGCAGCGTTTCCCCCGGCGCCAGGACGCCGAGCCCTCAAAGTTACAGCACAGCACCGCACTTCATGCCGAAGAACATCGTCGCTAGGCTGTTCGGGCTATTAAAATTGCCCCCGCACGCTGGCACGTTGAAAATTCGGGTGGCAGCGACACACGGCGTTATGACAGATCGACCTGTCGCCCTGTAGCAACGCAGGGACGGAGCTCTTCAGTGCGGCTGTTGCGATTGTTTTAAGACGGCAATAATCCTATCCAGTAGGGAAAGAAGACCAACTTTTTTTTTTTAATTCGGGCAACATTATCGGACGTGATCTGGAATTAAACGCGGCGGCAGTAAGCAGGTCCTTAAGCGCAGGACAGAGGAAAGCCGAGCCGGTCGCAGAGGCGTTTTGAAGTTCCGAAATCAGAGCACAATTCGGGACCGCTGCATTCCGAAAATCGCAATTCTCGAGTAAATCGACCCTGCTTGGACACTTTAATACTCTATATGGCCGGCACACATGTATCACTCTAACCGAGCTCTATGTGATCCCGTATACAGACACAAACCCGTGACATAACCAGTAGTTATGCGGGGGAAGTCGACCAAACACCCATCAGAAAGCAAAAAGGTTATCGTTTTCATAACTTCCTCAGCACACCGTGATCATTTCAGCCCCGGTGGGGACCCTACCATTAAAAATCAAGACCGAGCGCAATTCTCTCTTACCTCGCTGGCGGGGGGATCTGCGGTACTCCCGGTCAAGCTCCGCGCTCCGACAGCTCCTTCTGCTCCGCTGTATGCCGGCTTCAGTTCCTATTTGACAGCGCGTTCTGCATTTAGCTCGACTGTCTCACTCCCCTCCCTCCTCCCTCGCTCGCTTTCCCCGCACCAAACACCCCCCCTCCATCACCACACACACACACCTCCTCCTCCCCTCCGCACCCCACCGCAAGCATGCCTCCGGCGACCGGCAGTTTAGGGCAAGATGTGGCGTCGCTGCGGGGGAGGGAAACGAGGAGGTGGGAGACAGTGCTCCTCTCATCCGCCGCTGAACCGGTGGACTCCGCCGGAGCGCCGGGATACTGACCGCGATGACAGTGGAAAGGCTGCGGTCTGA